TCCTCTCCCTGCTCCAGGTGCACGGTGAGGTCACATGGCCAGTGAGAGCCCTGAGTCAGAAGTGGGTCTAGGAAGACACTTGGGGGAAACCAACAGTTAAAAGACAAAGCCAACCAGAAGAATAAAAAGCAAGAATTGGAAACATATGAGGAGAAACAAGAGGGAACGGGGTCTCCTCAGGAGCCAAAGGAAGTGAGAATTTCAAAGGAGAGTGAATCAGTGTCAAGATGAGTAAGATACAGAGTGAAAGGCACGCACTGGCTTCGGCACGTTGGGAGGCCACCTATGACCTTGGCAAGGGCAGCTGTGCTGAAGGGTTGGGAGGGGAAGCTGCTACCGAGGGAGCGGAAGGAATGAGGGGGGAGCCAGCGGATGTGCCCGATCCTCTGAGAAGGCCGACTGTGAAGGGGTGAGAGGGCAGTTCTTCGAGGGGAGCAGGGCTCTGTGTTCTCCGCTGTGGAACAGCAAATGGAAATGTAGGAAGCAGACTCCACCTGTGCCGCTTTAATTAGTTGCTATTTGATATTTGATGTTTGAGACCTGCAAGAGGCTAAGGGAAGCTTTGGTTTCATGCTCTAATCCATTTGCCTTTTTATTTTCCATTTCATGTACTAGTTCCGTAATTTCATTCTCATGCAAGAAAGCTAGAAATGGGAAATTTCCTGGAGCATTCCAAGGCTGAGCTCGAATGAGGTCATCGCACGATCAATCACATCTTGACATGTCTTCCCTGCGTCCACGGTTGATTTTTTTTCAAGACATGAAATTGGAGATTGGCCCCTAAAGACACTTTAAACTTTCAATATCACTTTACATGGATGTAGTAGTGTTTTGTTCCCACCATAGTTTTACACCATTGTTTCATCTCATTCTTATAATGGTCCTAAGAGGGAGAAAACGCAGGTAAGCTGATCTTCTTTGTTACACATCACGACAGCAAGCAAACCATGCACCCAAGGTCACACTCTTTCCCACTTCTCTACTCTTTCAGCTAAATTATCAGTGGCCACGGTGGCTTAATTCTAAACTTGTAAAGGACATAATACTATCCTAGCATGTATTTCAATGAGAGAGAGAATCAGCTGAGACAAGCTCACAAGCCCTCTGGTTTCCACAAGGACGAGGTTCTAAACCCTGTTGTGCTCCTGAGGGCACTTATAAAAAGGAAGATGCCTGGGCCTTCCCGAAATCCAGTGAAATCAAACTCTCACAGACTGGATGCCGGACACTGTCATTTATAAGTTTCCAGGTGATTCTAATAAGCAGCCAGGCTGAGAACCACTGTGCATAGTATGTCAACGACGATGCAATGAAAACCAAATTAATAAGGGAGTCTGTTCTCTTTGGGGCTGTTTATGATGGCACCACCAGCCACCTAGTTAGCAGGTGCAAAATGTCTCTAATCCTCTGGCAAGTCCAATGGACTCAGCTTTCAATCTGACCACTTCTCACCACTGCCCACGTGCAGAGTGGGAGCTGCCTCCCTTGCTTTCCTGGATGTGGCACCAGCCTCCCCGCTGCTCTCCTTGTTGGCACTCGGGGCCCCAAGCTGAAGTCTCTGCACAGTTGTCAGTGCTCTATTAAAACTCACAGCCATTGCCAGACTCAAAGCCCTGCACTGCCTTGTCCCTCCAGCCCAGCCTCATCTGGGCCCTGCCAACCTCTGTATACCCCCCGCTTCGCTCCCTCTGTTCCAACCTCATGTTTGCTGTTCCCGCTGTGTGGATGCTCTTCACCAGATCTCTGTATGGCTACCTCACCGGTCACCTCCTTCAGGTCACTGCTTGATGTGACCTCCACAAGGAGACCTCTCCTGACCACTCCGTCTACAATCACCCGCCTCTGACACGCTGCTCTTGGCCTCCAGTGTTCTTCCTCTTGGAATCACATTATTTGTCTACATGCTTTCCTCCTTGCAGTTGAGTGGATGCTCTCTAAGGGCAGAGATGAGGCTCCGGCCCCAAGAACAGTGCCCAGTGCACAACGGACACTTCATCTATATTTGTGAATGAATGATTAACTCCCTGGGAACTTGTGACTGCCTTCCAGCCGCGAGTGCTTTGAAACAAAGCCCAGTGGGGCAAGTGGGCGGTTCTGTCTGCAGGTCACAAGGGTGGCCTTGAACCCTGGCCTGGTAGGATGCTGGTAAGTCCACGGCTGCTTGGGGGAGGGAGAGGGTGCAGATCAGAACACTGGGTCCTGGGGGCGGTGTTGGTGGCGAGTGAGGCAGGACCACACAGTGATGTGCTTGTCATGTCAAGCCTCGTTTTCCCACGTGCTGTGGACGTGAGGTTCACCTCTGAAGGCTTCAGGCAGGACTGGGATGAGTTAGAGCTTCATTTTAGGAAAACAACTCTGACAGGCTGTCTGAAAGAAACCAGAGGGGACCTGCCTTGGAATTCCATGGCCCCTTCCCAACCTTCCCAAGTCCCAGGGTCCTGTGGATTCCCAACTAGAAGCCATCTGTTCACACTTCCGGGTCCAGTTTACTGGACTTCTGATGGCCATCCTGACAGAAACAATGTTTAAGAGTTAGGTGTTTCTGTATAGATAATAAGAAATGCTTCCATTATCATTAATACTGCATGTGGTACCTCTAGGAAGAACAACTATAGGGTTGTCGGAAAAGTCATGACGCATTTTTGCAATGAAAAACATGGAAGAAATATGTCATGACTTTTCCGACAGCCCAATATTACACAAGAATTAAAGTTATGGTTTTGTAAGCCACAAAATCAGAAGGTGTACCTAGCAGAGAAAGAAGGATGCAGTGGATCATCTCAGACAAATGTCTGTTTTCTACAGGTTACTATTTCTACAGTGAGGTCACATATGACCCACTCAACACATGTCATCACAAGACGGTCTCATTTCCCAGCACACTGCGGACATACCAGCTACTCACATGCTTGCTCTCCTCATGTCTGGTTCTTTCAAGCTTACCAAAAAAGTTTAATAGCTTTAATAAAAAGGTCTTCCCTGGCAACCTGTAAAAGTAGGTCTCCCCTGTTGGTCCCTTCAATAATACGCTGTTTCTTTAGTCACACTTATCCCAATCTGAATTTGTTTTCCTCATTAGAATGTAAGTTGCATGGGGGCAGAAAGCGTGTGTGCCTTCTTCATTAACTGTATGCTTAGCACCTGGCACAGACTAGGCGCTCAGGTAAAAAAATGGCTGAATAGAAAGCAACAGGAGAGCGAAGGGTACGATAGGGGAGCAGGAAAGCAAGAACGCAAATCTAAAGTGTCTACAGGAGGCATAGTTGTGCCACAACAATATTCCTTAGTGTGTGTTTTATATACTTGAAGATACACACTGTTAACGCAGATTAAAGTTAAAATGTTTGCTGTTATGTTTGCTAAGAAGAAAGGCATACACATCACTAGTCGGAATTCCTATTCCCACAACAGGTGCTCACATCTACCTGGTGGAGAATTACGGCAAACGTACATGCACGCTAGCAGACACTTACATGTACCCCTTTTGTGCAGGGTCTTAGTGGTACCCATCACAAATGGGGACATATTCTAATTATAGTGCCATAATGCTGGTCCTATGAGCTGCATGTTGAGATGAGCCCCATGGCATTACAACAAAATGCCATTCCCCAAATCACCTACCAGGTAAGGTTGCCAGATCAAATACAGGACGCCAGTTAAATTTGGATTTCAGATAAACAACAAAGAATGTTTTAGTATGAGCATGTCCCCAAATATTGCACGGGGACTTACTTATACAAAAAAAAAAAAAGCATCGTTTATCTGAAGTCCAAGTGTAGTGGTGCATCCATACTTTTATCTGTGAAACCTGGCAACCCTGCAGCTAGGAAAAGTCCCTGTGACAGCTTCCACCACCCAAGAAACTTTAGGTGGTTCCCTAGTTTCGTATTATTAATTAGTGCCCATAGATATCTTAAAGATGTACTTTTTTATGAAATGGTTTACTTCTCTTGCTCTGCATCTATCAAATCATGCCTGATTTCACTGATTAATGGCACAATGAAATGGTCTTTAATGTCTAAAGTTTTTCTTCCAGGAAACATGAGCGCCACAGTGATTGGCTTGTGCTTTGTGTATTCAATTTGCAAGAGTCGCCACGAAACAGAAATATTCCGTAAGTGCAGAACTGGCATTTAGGTCCTTTAACCAAACCTCTGACTTTTCTGAATGCTCACTTTCAACTGAAAGCTCTCTAGAAAATCAATTAATGACGCAACCCATATTATTATTACTCACTTAAAGGTGGTCCACTGCAGCCCTTCCAGAAAGCTATAGAGAATTTTCACAATCTCACTCTTAAAAAAAAAAATCTGTTTTCTATTATAAAAAATAACCTAAAAATAGTTCCACGTAACACAAGGACAAAACCATCTGTATGATCTCTCCAAAGAGCTCATATTTCCATAGATTTTATCACTTTCCAACTGTTCCAACAAATTCTGAAATTTAAGGAGGTCATGTAGATTTGGCAGATAAGACTCATTAAAATATTTAATTTAATCATGAATATTTAAATGATTTTATATTATTCTTTTACATCACAGAAGGCTCAAGTCAAACAACTGTCCAAGAAAACAACATTAAAACAGCATGTAAAACTGCATTAAAACTCATTACAAACTGAATGTTTGAAAGTTGCATTAAAATATTTCTACCAATTATCAATTGATAAAACCAAAATGTTGATGAACTAGACATGAATACAGAAAAATACCCAACACTCAAGAAAAACAAAACAAAACACAAAAGTGTGTATCTGGATATGTAATCCCGGGTGTGTGTTTGAAAAATAACTTTCAACAGATGCAAATAATATCGGAACTGACATATCAGAATTGGTTTGTATTTCATGCTCACGAGAATAAAGATTTCACTTTATGAGGGTGAAGTGAACATTAAAATAAAGACAAAACTTGGATGAAGGAGCATGAATGCAGTAAATGTGATTTTAAAACTTTGGCCATCGAAAAGTCAAGAAAAAAGCAAATCAGAAAACCGACCTTTGAGTTGATGCTCTTGGTTGGGTCCCAGAGGTCTCCGTTCAAAAGGGAGGCACTGACCACTTCATAGGCTCCTCCCTGGTCCCTCGTTCGGGCCTGTCGCATGAAAGGAGTGGAGTGGCTTCCCAAGTTCACCCCTGCATCGAAAAGAAAACAGCCCCGTTCTTCATTCTCCTTGGGTAGAGTTTGGCATCAGAAGCATATGACACAAATGACTTGGTGGCAATATCTGGAAGTGGACTAAAGCTAGGGAAACACCATAATCTACAATATTAAATCACAATATGTATCAAGAGTGATGACGTCTCTGTCAATCTAACCATAACACTTTGTAACTTAAAGAAAACAAAAGCTAAATTTTTTCTTTCAAGACTTATGGATGTGCAGGGTGATTATCACAAAGTATATAATTCTGTCCTTCAGCAAGCAACAAAAATGTGCAACCGTTACTTGCTAAACAATGAATTAACACTTTGCCTAAGATCATCTCTCTAGGAAACGTCTCAAGGCTTTGGCTGCATTAAGACTAACTCCATTTCTTTAAGCACCAGTGAATCAGTCAAGCACAATGCCACCCCCCCACCTCCGTATTCACAGAGGCTAATTTTATATGATTCAGTGAGTGATCCTATAGACAAAATTAATTTGCCAGTACAGACTGACTAGACTGGTATATGAAAAAAAAATTAAGTCCTGCAATAAACGATTATATGATCTTGTTTCCTGGGGTCCTGTCTGTCCAACCAGTTAATATACTGACACGGGTTCAATTTAGCCCCATTTCCATAAACAATCCTAATGGAAAGTATAACATTTTCTCTTCTGGAGAGCATATCACTTTCTTAATGAACACAGTCCTTTCTCTGGGCTTGCTGTCCTATGAGGTCACACTCCTGCTCTTTGCTGGGACCACAGAATATCCCTCAAGGTATGGGACGGGGGCAGATTCCTTCACATGTTATTCCTATTTCTTCAAACCAGGACTCATAATTTTCAGACCTGAGTCATAATAGCACAGTTTTAAGTTACTAAGGAGTTCACATTTATTGGGCACAAATGGTATTGAAATTTTAATCCTAGACATTTTACAGTTCCCCAAATACTTTTAAATCCACACCATTTTATCATTCTCGATGTTGAAGTCTGCAGCTATATTCAGGTTACGAAAGGATTACTGCTCGAGTAGTAACCGTCTGACACGGCCTCTCTGGAAAACTCACAAGCTAGTCACAACGCATTTAAAACTCCCAGGCGCTGAGAGCCCAGGGAACGGGATGCACCAAAACTGGGAATATGGCCAGAGGGCGAGCGCCGGGCCCCTCAGCCACGTGGGGGGAAGAGAGGGAGAGAGGGGACCATGAGCACAGGTGACCGAGGGCAGGAGAACCTCTCAGGGCTGGGACGAGCTGGGTCTTCAGGGCTGAACCCGTATCCAAGAGATGATGAGGGTTCTGGCTGTGCAGAGAGGCCGGCTCTGGGTGGTGACGGCTGCAGACATTGGTGGAGGGCTGGCTGGGGGTGGAAAAATGGGCCGTCTGAATGGGGACATCAGAAGTCTTTCTGGCTGCAGAGGGACAGCTGGCAACATGCAGCTCTTGAATAAATGAACCTCACCCGGTGGCTTGACCTCCACGTGCTCCAAGGGCATGCAGCATTGCTACAGGCAAGGGCTTTAGAGGAAGACACTCCCCCGCATCGGGGCCACCTCTACCACAGATCCACTGTGGGACCCGGGGCCAGCAGTTTGCCCACTTGTGTGTTCATTCATTCGCTCTCTCACTCACCACTCCACGACTATTTATGAACTGCCTTCCTCGAGGGGCAGTCTAGACCTGGCGTCTCCACTCGAAAGCCCTTCCTTCCTGCTTCAGGCCAGCCCTCCCTCATGTCACCTGGAGCCAGACCGCCTACACTGCCGGGACCCTCATCTCCTAGACACGGCTTCACCCCAGAACACTGGGCTCTCCCGGTCCTGTGCATCTAAGACAGGGACACAGATCAAGCTGTCTTACAGTTCATGTCGGGAGAGAGACGACTGAACAAATATCATTTCAGAGAACAGCCGGGACTCTCACAACAGGGCCACGGGGACTGGCTGGGCTATCTTTGTAACTCTTCCGTAAAACAAAAATCATTTCAAAATAAGAAGTTAATAAGAAAAACGACGTGATAGTAGAGTGGCGAGGAAGGCTTCTCTTGATGGATAGGCCAGGAAAGACCTTTTCTTGTTGTTATTGGGACGTGGAGCACGTAAGGTAATCTGTGGAGAGGAGACGCAGCCAACCCCACACACAGCCACAGGAAGAGCGTGTCAGCAGGGGGACAGCCAGTGCTTCCCTTGGCCATAAAATGAGGCAAGTGCGGCGACGCCCGAGGGAGATAATACACTGAGGCCTGAAGAAGCCCAGCTGGTTTCATCGCGTTGTTCTCTCAGCTTTGGGAGAGAGCAGCTTAGGGCCTCTCACTCAGGACCCTCAGTGAGAGCCGCGAGTTAGAATTTACTCCAACAAAGGGAGTCCTCATCCAGCTATACAGCCCCTGCAAGGCTGGACAACAGAGTGCGATTAACTCAACTTATCTTAAAAGAGAGCTGGTGTGTTATTTGTACTGGGTTAAGAAGGCTTTGAAATGCTAGCAATTAGAGAGTCTAAAATGGAGATTTATCTGAACTTTCCCCTCAATCCATGAAAACCATGCCATGTGCCCAGAGTTACCACGGCCATTATTTTGATCTTTTGAAAAGTCAGGTGAAACTGTTAGAGCGATTGCAAGCATTTTCAAATTTCCTCTAAGTAAACAAACACATCTGATTATAAGCTACTCCTAGCAGTTGTCCGTTAAGTTGCCAACACAAACGAATTGTCAGACTGATGGGTTAGTCACAAATCCAATTGTCCAAGGGCCGGTTAAATGGGGTGGAGGAGGAGTCCTCAACCTGGAGTCCTCTGTTACCCCCCACACACTACAGCTGGAGGACAGGGTGGTTTCCGGTGGGATTCCAGCCACGATGCTTAAAGGCTGAGGGATTTTCACCCAGGTCTCAGGTACTAGGAGAACAAGTCCTTGCATTTACTAGATCACGCTTGAGAACCTGTGTGTCCCAGGAGGAAGGAGATGGTGCCACAAACTCCAGGTCCCCTGGTCCGGATGCCTCAGCCAGCGGGGCATGGCCACAGCCTTGACTTTGTAGAAGCTGGGAGGCCTTCGCGGGGCCTCCTGCTTGACCGCCAGAGTGCAGCTGCACAAACCCAATACCAAGGACACACTAAGTCCTCCAGCCCCTTTCCCTCCAAGACTCTTAGGAGCAGAGAGAGAGACACAGTTAGTTCCTCTCCTGAAGGTAACACGTTCCAGCTCTTTTCACCTCCATATTCCAGCATCTCAGTGCAAAAGAAGTCCTTTTTGGCTGGAGTTTTTTCTTCCAAGAGGCTTTATCTGCATATATTCCAAGGAGAATTGAGAGGCAGGCTGTGCCAGCACTTGTAGAATGTTGTGCAACCTTCTTAAGAAACGGAGTGGCTGTACTATTTGCTGAGTACGGTATTTATTATCTATGTACATGGATAATGAGGCCATCTCTTAGCTTTTTAATTGGTTGCACAATATCCTCCCCCAGCAGTGTCCGTAGTCAGAAGGCTGTTTCTTATGAGCCTTTCTTTGTATTTATACACTGGTATTCCTTTTAGATGATGGAAATAAAAATTTTATTTGTGCTGCATGGAGAGACAGAATAAATTACACACAGCTGTGTGATATCAGATTGTATTTTATGGAGTGATCTTGTTGACAAACCATAAAGGCAGGTCTTGAATGATGTGTGTATTCAAGCCCTAGAAACTCAGGGAAAAAATATGGCCTTATAAAATACACAGTTTGCATACATTTTTATCTCTCATAGCATTTGGGCATCAACAAAACTCAGCTACCTAAATAAAAAAACTTTGGATCGCTGATATTGGGGAGGAACTTCCGGCTTTTTGCTGGTGGGTAACCTGATAGCCTGCTTACCATTTTAATACAATGGCCAGTTTGCTTCCGTCTCCTACTAGAAAAAAAGCATTTTAGATATGTTGGTTTCTACCACAATTATCTTCTGTGACAATAAATTCTGCTTTCCCCTGGGATGTGTGTGTTCCCACTGAGCTTGTCTCCTTGTCTAAGCTTGACATCTTCAGACCTGATTATGGCTGGTCAAGAGGGAAGTTATAGACCCAGTTCCTTAGGCAAAAATCTTGATAGCAGTGGCCTTTAAGGTCTTGGGAAAGCCACAACAAAGACAGCCCCTCCTCCCCCCCCTCCCCCGAAAGTGACACTAGATTCCCCCAGGTGAATCACTCAGAGATTAGCTGCTGTTATGTCCTGCCCCATCCCTGCTCCAGTAAAGCCTCCTTTGCCAATCTTACTAAGGGGGGGGGGGTCTAGACCACCCTGATGCCCATCTACGGGATCTGAAATAGCGAACAGTGAACTCTGTGGAGACACAAGGCCTGGCCCTGGTCGTGGTTCACCTCTGACTTCTCGCCTCAGTCACTGTGTGCATCTGAGGTTGTCCCTCTACAAAATGGGAACACATTCTCTCCCCTCATGATTCTCATCAGGTTAAAGAAGCTCAAGTAAGTTGATGCAGTCAAAGGGCTTTCAAAAGGCTCAACGTAGGAAATCAGTCTAGGATGTCAGAATCCAAGCTTCCAGACTTCTACATAGGGTTTATCTAATCAAACCATGTGAATAGTGTGAAAGTACCAACTACATACCAATCATTAGGAAACTCCGGGTGCAGGTGCAGGTGGGTGGGTATCCATGTAGTCTGCCCAATGGGCCATTGGGGAAACAGAGCGATTGCTAGTCAAGATAAAATTTAAACATCACACCTGGAGTTCTGCCTTTAAAGGGGAATCATTTTCAACACCTAATGGACCTAAGAGAAGAGAATCAATCTGAGGCACCAAAAATAAGATAAATAGTCTTCTGAAAATCTAATATGTGCGTGGGCGGGGGCAGTTGAGGCGGCCATTGTGAGCTGCAAAAGAAGCTGGGGACAAGACCCTGGAAGCTCATAAAGTACTTTCCTTAGCCCCAAATAGCTGAGAGCTAAAGTAAATCTTATAGACCCGACTGAGCGGCTCTTTGTTTCAAG